CCCCCCCCCCCCGAGACAGGGTTTCTCTGTGGCTTTGGAGGCTGTCCTGGAACTAGCTCTTGTAGACCAATCTGGTCTTGAGCTCACAGAGATCTGCCTGCCTCTGCCTCCCGAGTGCTGGGATTAAAGGCATGCGCCACCACCGCCCAGCTCAGTCCATATATTGAAGTCCTCCAGTTCCAGATAACTGTGAAGTCCAAGTGTCTACAGCACTCCACCTGTAACCACTCAGAGGTACCCAAGGATGGATTAAAAATGCAAAGAAAGCACCCTGGGCATGCTGTGCTCATGTCTGCAATCCCAGGACTGGAGAATCAGACTGGAGGGTCAGAAGCTCAAGGTCAACTAGGCCAGCCTGGGCTACAGACTTTGTCTCAAAAGACAAAAATAAAAATCAGGAAAGCTAATAGAGAGTAGAATGGTTGGAAGCAGCTTGCAGCTAACACACAGACTTTCCTCTAGCTCATGCCATTCTTCCTTTAGAAGCACAGGTTTTGAGGGCAAAAGGTTTGCTATGACTGAGTTGTTTCTCAGAGGTCTTTACACTCTCTGCTTACTTACCGAGACCTATTTCCAAGTCATCCAGGGAACGTCTGTTTTCAGAGATCCGTTTTCCGCCTGCATTTCGGCCTTGGGTCCAAAGAATCTGTTCAGGGGATGGGAAATACTGATGTAACAGTAGAAACGCCTTCATTAATGAAACCCAGATGATCAGAACAGCACATATTTACAGGTGCTCACGGAAAAATAAGTGACTCTATAAACAAAGCCCATTGCTATTAACCCATTGCTATTACACAGTTGGTAAGCTGGGGGAGAGTCCTCATATCTCAGATGACAATGACATGCCCTTAAAACTGCCAAGGCACAGGCAGCACCCCACTATCTCATTGCACCCCGCTGTTGCTGCCTTGGCAGTCTTCATCATTGCTCTCCTTAACAATCCCATTATCTTCTTAATTGGTTCTTTTCCACATTCTAATCCAGGCTTTGTGAGGCTGCCAATATCCAAACTAATAAAAAGTAATTATTCTAAAATCTGTATCTCCCTGAACTCCCTTATTCAAAATTCTTTCAGAATTCCCAGTCACCCTTGAGTATCACTGCAAGTGTTCAGTACATTTCAGAAGACCCTCCTGGGCAGATCAGTGCCCACCCAACCTCTTCTCCTCATATTCTGTGACACATTCTTTATCCTTCAGAGAACTCAAACAGCTCTGAGAACCGTGGCATAATAAATGATGCACCCTCCACCCATATCATATACTTGTCCTTATGTTACTCCTTCAAAACTCAGTGTCACTTACTTCTATATACATACAGCTGCTCCTTCCTGTAGTCTGAAGGTGCCCAGTCATATTTTGTTACATTGCTTGGTACAGTGCTATAACAGTCCTCTCACTGGCTGGCTAGCCCACTGAGGGTGACTCACACTTCCAGGATTTGTAGATTATAGCATTATTTGTTTGTTTGCTTTTTATTTATTTTTTTGTTTGTTTGTTTTTGAGACAGGGTTTCTTTGTGCAGCTCTGACTATCCTGGAACTCTCTGTAGACCAGGCTGACCTTGAATTCAGATATCTGCCTTGATATCTACTCCCTGAGTGCTGGGATTAAAGTCGAGCACCACCACAGTTCGTTGGTGGTAGCATGATTTGTTTCTTCAGTGCTGGGGATTGAACCTAGAAACTTGGACACACCAGGCAAGTGCTGTACACTGACCTATGCTGCAGACACTAGGCACAGATTTGTTTTGAATAAAGTATTTTGTGGTTTTTGAAATCCTAACACTTTGTGTCTCATGTTTTGGATAGACCTTTAATCACAGTTACAAATTAGGTTGAGTGTAGTGACACCCACCTGTAATTAATGCTAGAGTGGAGGCAGAGGCAGAGGGATCAGGAATTCATGGCCAGATTCTACAAATATATGAGGCTACAGGAGAACTTGCCTCATAAAACCCAAAATACATCTCATTCTGTAATGTCAGCCTCCAGCCAGATCCTCCCAGTCAAATATCTGTTTCCAGACAATTGGAAGTAGGGGTTATGTGAAAGCCAGTGTGCCAGGAGGTAAGAGGCACTTCCCTACACCCCTCCCTCCCTCCTCTCCACTTCCTTCCAGGTTGAGGATCAAATGCAGGGCCTCAAACTTCCTAGATAAGTGCTCTGCAGTTGAGCATTTTGAGTTCAATACATGAGAAACTTCTTAAAATCAAAAGTAGTTAGCCAGGCAAGGGTGGTTAGCCAATACTGGCTGCCTGTGAAGTTGAGCTCCCACCAACAGTATGAGACGCAGTAGCCACCTACCACAGGGATAAGACAAGAGCTGGCTTGGCCTAGTGTGCTGCTGGCACCAAAGTCCTTCTTTACAAAAGCATTGCCTTGCTGAACTGCTTCCCATTCTTCTGTGTGTTCCTTTGTATGAGCGGCAGCTTTATCATTTGTTTGTCTCATTAATAATCACTAATGAAGGGCTGGAGAGATGGCTCAGAGGTTAAGAGCACTAGCTACTCTTCCCAGGGTCCTGAGTTCAATTCCCAGCAACCACATGGTGGCTCACAACCATCTGTAATGAGATCTGGTGTCCTCTTCTGGCCTGCAGGCATACATGCAGGCAGAACTCTGTATACATATTAAATAAATAGATCTTTAAAAAAAATTACTAATGAAAGTTATTACACTCTTAATTGCAATGAGCTAACTGACTTCAAAACATTAACTATGTATTTAAAGCAATTTATTCCTTGCTAGCCCTAATTATCATGTACTAATATATTTCAAATAAAAACCAAAATAAAGCTGGGAGTGGTGACTCATACCTGTAATCCCAGCACCTGGGAGACTCTGGGAGAAGGGCTGCCCTGAGTTCCGGGTCAGAATGGGCTATAAAGAAAGAGCTTCTTTCATAAAACCAAAATAAATAAAACCCTACTGTTGCCACATCATACTTGGGTCAGATCCACTCACATCTATATGACTTTTTTGGCTCAATATTTCTGGCTCTGGGAAAGAGGAAAACTGAGAGCAGAGGTGGAAGTCAAGGTCAGGCAGGACACGTGCCACCCACAGTACTGGTCCTGTAGAGGCCAACTGTTGACAGCTTGGACCCAGCTTGGTGCTGGAGGAGGTGGTGAATCCTTTCAGGGGGTGTCTAAGTAGGAGAGACAAAATAAACTCCAGCTTGGAACTCACTACGAAGACCAGGATGGCTTTGAACTCATAGAGCTCCTCCTGCCGCCTGCTTCTTGAATGTTGGAATTAAAGGTGTGTACTGCCCTGACTGGCTAGGATCTTCACTCTTCACAGAGGAATTTACATTCTACCAAAGATAAAATTCAAGTGCAAACCCAAGATTGTGTTGTGAGCTGCAGCTGCCAAGCTCACCTTTGGTCCTAGGCCCATGCCTCTGCCTGGTGTTAGGTTCAACCCTAAACAAGTGGGAACAAACCTGCCACCGCAGAGACTTTCCCTTTCATTTCACAAGAATAAGGCTTCCCATCTTTGCTAGCTTCTAACTTAAGCACCGGGATTAAAAGTGGGATGTGTTGTACCTGTGATCTCGGTATTCTATGACACCTGTAAGCACAGCACTCTAGAGGTAAAGAATGGAGGAACATCCTGAGATTGAGGTCATCCTCTTACAGTCAATTCCATATCAGTCAGGGCAACACAGTGAGACCCAAAAGGATGGGTGTGGTAACACAGGTCTCTGTTTTCAGCACGTGGGAAGTGAAGGCAGGAGGACTGGGTGTTCAATGTCATTCCTCAGCTACATAGCAAGCCTGGGTCAGTGAGACCCTATCTTAGACAAAACAGAATAGTTTAGGGTGATAACTCAGTTGGCAGTGTACTTGCCTTACAAACATGAAGGCCTGAGTTTGATCCCCAGAATCCAGTTTTTTGTTGTTGTTTTTGTTTGTTTGTTTTTTCGAGACAGGGTTTCTCTGTGTAGCTTTGGAGCTGTCCTGGAACTAGCTCTGTAGACCAGGCTAGCCTTGAACTCACAGAGATCTGCCTGCCTCTGCCTCCCAAGTACTGGGATCAAAGGCGTGCACAATCACTGCCTGGCCAGAATCCATTTTTAAAAAGCCATACGTGGGGATATACACTTGCAATCCCAGTTCTGGGGAAGTGGAGGCAGGTGGTTCTGGAAGCTCACCAGGCAGTCCAAGTGTGGTGAGATGGCTCCATACCATGGAGGTATGGCAAGGTGCTTGCCACCAGGCCTAATGATGAGTTGGATCAACTTGGAATAAGGGAAGAATTGGCTATTTTGAGCTTTCCCTGACTTCCACACAGGTGATAATGGTACATGTCCCTCTCCCTCAGAGTATTACATGAAAACCATAAACAAAACAAACTAAAGGTAGACAGCTCCTGAAGAACGAGTGGGCTGTCTTCTGAAGGATCCAGCTAGAGGCAAGACTGGGGGGTGACCTTATCTCACAACAAAACCAAAAATAGCCCCCCATCCCAAACAGTAAAGCCTAAAACACAGGACAAAATTCTGGGTTACTTGGGAGCCTAAGAAATACTGGTCTGTGGGGCTAGAGAGATAGGTCAGTGGTTAACTGCTATTCCAGAGGTCCTAAATTCAATTCCCAGCAAACACATGGTGGCTCACAATCATCTATAATGAGATCTGGTGCCCTCTTCTGGCCTACAGGCATACATACACTGTGTATATAATAAATAAATCTGAGAGAGAGAGAGAGAGAGAGAGAGAGAGAGAGAAGAAAAATACTGGTCTGGCCAGGCAGTGGTGGTGCACTGCTCATTCTCTCTGCCCCAGGCTAGCCCTTGAACTCTGCCCCAGGTTATCTGTGGCTTCCCAAGGATCTGGATTCTAATCCTACTCCAGCACTTTAATCCCAACACTCAGGAGGCAGAGGCAGGCAAATCTCTGTGAGTTGGAGGCCAACCCAATTTACAGAGCGAGTTCCAGGACAACCACAGCGGTTACACAGAGAAACCCTGTCTTGAAAAAACAAATCCAAAAAACCCAAAACTGGTCTGTTGGAGTAGGATTAGAATCCAGATCCTTGGGAAGCCACAGATAACCTGGGGCAGAGTTCAAGGCTAGCCTGGGGCAGAGAGAATGGAGAGAATGAGAAGACATCTGGTGGTGGAGGAAACTTTGGCAATCAGTTGATTGGAATGGTTCTGAGGAAGAACGTGACTGTGACCTAGGCAGCTGCAAGGGTCCAGCAGGGCTCAGGTTATCACTTTCAACAGTCAGTCACCTTCAGACCAGAGGGCCTGAATGCAATATACAGAGTGCACTTCATAGCAGGAAGCAGCAGCATCTCTCAAGGATGGGGGGAGGGGAGGAGAGCCCAAACAGAACAAAACAGAACACACACACACACACACACACACACACACACACACACCTGCAACAGATTTATATATCATTCTGGCCTTTTTGACTTGGACATATGGACACTCCAGGAGTGTTATACTCTGCCAAACAGAGACAAGACAAGATATCTTAAGGCTTTGTGGAATTTCCCAAGACTTGGCTTACCCCACCCTACATGTTCTCCTTCCCTGTCAGCTGGGTGTGACATGCCATGTGTGAATGCCTCTAGGGTACTTTCTGTGCATTCAACAATCAAATATATTAACATATACCAATAAGAGAGTAAGCACTTGGGGCTTTTAGCCAGGAGTCTGTAGATTTTTTTTCCTATAATTAAAAGAAAGAAAGAAAAGGAAATTGCATTCCAATGATTAACAAGGCAGATAGTCTATCTCATCTGCCTTTATTTTTAGGAAAATTCTTCTCTCTCTATAGCTCAGGTGTGCCTGAACTCATGGCAATCCTCCTGCCTTAGCCGCTGGAGTGCCAGGGTTATAGGCATGAGACACCACGTTCAGTCAGATGAAAGTGCTTGCTGTACAAGCATAAAGACTGAGTTGGGATCCCCAGTACCTGTGTTAAAACCAGTGTGACGATGCAAGTGTGTAACCCCAGTGCTAGCATGGACAGATAGGTGGGTCCCTGGAGCCTGCCAATTATTTGAGCTCCAGATGCAGTGAGATCAGTGAGAGACCTGGTCTCAAAACAAAACAAAAGCAACAAAAAAGGTTGCTGAGATAGTGTTTCTCCATGTAACAGCCTGGCTGTCCTAGAACTCACTGTGTAGATCAGGCTGGCCTCAAACTCATGAAGATCCATCTGCCTCTGCTTCCCAAGTGCTGGGAGTAAAGGTGTGTGCCACCACATCCTGCTTTCTTCTTCCTTCCTTCCTTCCTTCCTTCCTTCCTTCCTTCCTTCCTTCCTTCCTTCCTTTCTTTTTCAATAGAGAGTCTCACTATTCAGCCCTGGCTGTCCTGGAACTCACTATGTAGAACAGGCTGGCCTTGAACTCACAGAGACTCGCCTGCCTCTACCTCCTGAGTGCTGGGATGAACATTGTGCGCAATGGGCCACTCACTACACCTGGCAAAATGGATTCTCAAGCCAGGTGTTGTGGTGCAAGCCTGTAATCCCAGCTTCTGTGGGGTGGCGGTAGGAGGACTAGGAGTTCAAGGGCAGATTTTGAGAGTAGCCCCGGCTACGTGAGATCTTGTCTCCTCCCCCAAAAGATGACAGTCAGAGCTTTCTGCAGAGTCCCTTATGTCACCCTTCACTGCCTTCTGTGTTCTCATCCGGACTCTTTCCCTTCACTCTTGATTTCCTAAAAACTCAAGAATGAGGAAGGATAAGTCTTAGGGGAAAATGGAACTTTGCAGAACTCTGTATAGATATTGTGAGGTATAAATGAAATCTCTTAACTTCTCAAAGAATTAAGTGATAAAAATTTTCCTTCTTCAGGGACACTGAACAAAATGGGTTGTCCATATAAAACACGCACACAGGAGGATATGCTGGCCAGTTTTTTTTTTTTTTTTTTTTTTTTTTTTTTTTTGTGTTTGGTGTGGGGTGGTGGTGGTTTGTTTGTTTTGTGTGTATTTTGAGACAGGGTTCCTCTGTATAGCTTTGGAGCCTATCCTGGCACTTGCTCTGGAGACCAGGCCGGCCTCGAACTCACAGAGATCCACCTACCTCTGCCTCCCAAGTGCTGGGATTAAAGGCATGTGCACCACCAACACCCGGCGCTGGCCAGTTTTATTATGTCAACTTGACAAACTAGTGTCATTTAAAGAAAGGGACTCTCAAATGAGAAAATGCCCCCACCCAACTAACCTGTGGGAAAGCCTGTGGTATGTTTTCTTGAATGATGATTAATGTGGGAGGGCCCAGCCCGTTGTGGGTGGGGCCATCTCTGGGCTACTATTGGTCCTGGGTTCTATAAGAAAGCAGGCTGAGCAAGCAAGCCATGGGGAGCAAGCCAGTAAGCAGCACCCTCCATGGTCTCTGCTTCAGCTCCTGTCTCCAGGTTCCTGCCCTGCTTGTAACCCTGCCTTGACTTTCTCAGTGAGGAAGTGTGACCTGCAAGTGTAAGTGAAATAAACCCTTTTCTCCCTAAGTTGCTTTTGGTCCTGATGTTTTATCACATCAATAGAAAACCTAATAAATACAGAGAAGCAGATACAGAATGTCTCTACATTTTCTGTATTTCTAAGTGTCCCATAAAAATTGTGTTAGCCTTACAATAAACAAAAGAGAAAGAGAGAATGAAAAATGCTCGCTTTGGCAGCACATATACTAAAATTGGAACAATACAGAGATTAGCACGGCCCCTGTGCAAGGATGACATGAAAGTTCGTAAAGTGTTCCATAAGTTAAAAAAAACAAAACAAAAACAAAAAAGTAATATCTCATATCTAGTAAGCTACTTCAGTAGTTAAAAATATGGGGGCTGGAGAGATGGCTCAGCAGTTAAGAACATGTGTTGCTCTTCCAGAGGACCCGGGTTCTGTTGCCAGCAGGCATATGTTGGCTCACAACCCTCCATAACTCCAGGGATTCTAACATCCATGGACTCCAGGTACCCATGTGGTTCCCAGGCATGCATGCAAAATATGTACACACATAAAATAAAAAATAGTTAAGAATCCTACAAAACTAACAGCGGATGAGGCTTTTGGGGTCATGTGCTCAGACAATGGCTAGTTTTGACATAGTACAATCTTTGAAGACAAGCTGAAAATATATAAAGAAAAACATCTGGAAAAATGTATCTTCTAAATATGGTATGTGTCACAGAATATAGACCAAAGAAATTATTCAAAACAAAACACTGCTGCCAAGTTGCTCAGAGATAGAAAAGAATCTAATTATTGGGGAGTGATTACGAAGATTATGAAATACAGCTCAGAAAAGGGGAAGTGCAGCTGGGCGGTGGTGGCTCATGCCTCTAATCCCAGGACTTGTGAGGTAGGTGGATCTCTCTGTGAGGCCAGCCTGGCCTACAGAGCTCCCAAGGCAGGCTCCAAAGCTACAGAGAAACCCTGTCCTGAAAACAAACAAACAAAAAAACAAAAGGGGAAGTGTATGAATTAGGAATATACACAGTTAGGTCTATGTGACAAACAAAAATAAAGTAAAATAAGATAAAGGCAACAAAACAGGGAGTTATGTAGTGACTAAAGCTACATAAAACACAGCTGTATGTACGCTGGGTGGTTGTGGCGCACACCTTTAATCCCAGCCATTGGGAGACAGAGGCAGGTGGATCTCTGTGAGTTCGAGGCCAATCTGGTCTACAAAGTGAATTCCAGGACAGCCAGGACTACACAGAGAAACACTGTCTCGGGGGACTGGGGATTAGAGAGCTTATTTATGAGGATACCACTATTATATGATCTTGAAGTTCATGTTTCCACAGATGTCAAAGACAGGCAGGGCTACAGTCATTTGTGTCTGAACAGTAACCAGTCCTAATATCCATGGAGCTTGTGCTATATGGTAGAAGGCTACTACACAAGTTCAGCCCTTGTTCTGAGATTATCCCCTTTCCCTCCCCCCCCCCCTCCCCCCCCCCCC